ATCAATTTTACCGAACTTTTATTTTTCTCTTTTTGCGTGAATCGCATCAGGCGAACCAACAATTTAATTCTTCATAGAAAATACGATCTCACCAGGATCTCTCTTTTATTTCAGATTCTTTCCTTATTACTTTCAAGCGTTTGCAACTTTTAAAAAGAACCAAAACTTGCTTCGATTCCTTTTTCCTCTTCTCGTTTTTTTTTCTTTCCATCCATTGTTAAAATGTACCTGACGCAAAAAAAAAGAAAATTAATATTTTTTTCTCTATGACAAAAAATAATTATTGAACGTACGTTCCAAATAACAATAACGTTAAACGATTTTCTCTCAAAGATTGGAAAATATTTTCTATTTTTTTATTTTTCCAAATGAAAATAAAAAAAAAAAAAAAGAAACAAGAAAAAAAAAGTTTCAAAAATCCATCGGACTTTCAATCGTCGATAATACAATTTTTTTTAATTATCTAAAAGAAAGAACGCGATGCAGAAGAGTAGGAATCCCAGAAAGAGAGCATTAAAATCGATGACTCATTTAGTACTCTCGGTCGCAAATAGAGAGACTCTCTAATAATGGGTAAACTTTGTCGTCTAACATTGTAACATAATCTGGGTAGCCGGTGCAGAGCGAGCCACCGGAATTGCAACGCGCCAGAGACTACTAATGCCCCGACCAATTTACTTATCGGAGATTGGGGCTGATCCAAAGTTTCATGCAGTCGAATTTCTCTCTCTCTCTCTCTCTTCCTCTCTTCTTCTCTTTTCCTTTTCCTTTTCCTACTTCTCTATCTCTCTCTTTCATTTCTCTTCGACCAGCCTTTTCCACGCTCTTGTAGAGTCCCGTTTTTACACACTTCCTACAAGATTTACTTCGAAGGTAAGAGAAAGAGAGAGACAGACAGACAGACAGATAGACACACGCACATACACACACACATACACATACTTTGTAAAAGAGAAAGAGAGAAAGGGAAGTAACTGTACCTCAGAGACGTTTAAGCAAAAGTTGTGAATTTGAATTTTAAAACAGGCAAGAGTCCTGTCTCCTCCTACTCTTTCCGAGTGATAGTACGCTGGAGAGAGAAAGAAGGGAGAGCGAGAGAGAGAGAGAGAGAGAGAGAGATTGAAAGATAACCATTTTCTATCTTCTTCTATCTAATCTCTTCTTTTCCATGTAGTAATTCACCCTTCATCATAGACTCACTTTCTCTCTCTTTCGTTCGTAGTGTTTTTTCTTTCTTTTCTTAACCCTCTTCCTTCCTTCCTTCCTTCCTTCCTTTTTTTCTTCCACCTTGAACCATTCGTCGTAGATATTTTACGAGGTGGCTTCGACTCGCTAAGCGTAAAGTCTGAAAATTTAGGAGAGATTCTCCTCGGCTGGATGCTTTCAAACGACTAGTCGGTCCATCGAGACGTCCACGTGCAAACCCTTTCGTAAGGTCGTGCCTTCTTATCACTCTTCGTCCTTCCGTTGTGATCTGAATAGAAAATAGCTTTAAAAGATCTAAAGTTGTCCGGTGAAAAGGATGGTTTGAAGTGGTAGAAAAGCAAAGAAAATGCAATCGTATTTTTCGTGAAAATGTTCGATCGATCGGACACTCTTAGGACCAATGTCCTCCCTCATATCTTTCGATAGTTCACGACTTTTTTATTAATATTATTATTATAATTATTGTTATTAGTATTCTCATATAAATGTGTGATCTTTGTTAATTAGATACTTTTATATTCATCAACAGGGATACATTTACATTGTTCGCAAAATTTGTTAGGAGTAATTGGAATATATATGGAAACAAAAAGTGAGTTGGTTAATTATTATTTTTCATCGTTATTCGAGTGAAAAAAATAAAAAAAGAAAACAAAAAGAAAAACAAAGAGTGTAATTAAAAATTTCCATCGAGATCTTATTCATCCATTTGCCCCGTTCAATTCTCAATTCAATTAATTTTGCAATATACGTTATTGTTTCTAATAAATACAAGTTCATGTTTCGCATTTAAAAAAAAAGGAAAAAAAACATAGAAAAAAACAAATAAATAAAAAATAAAAAGCAAATTAGAAAACATTGAAACGTTAGGAATATAAAGTTTTTAGGATATATATATATAGAAATAGAACGTACGTATTATAAGGGAACATTAAACGAGTAGCAAAGCGAATTAAAGTCAAGAACATTTTGCGAAAATGCAACGATAAAATCCTATAGGTGGTGTAGCAAGAAAACTACGAAAAACGTCATCGTCGACTATCGCGGTAAAGTAACAAAGCTTAAGGCTCGAAAAGCTCCAACGATATGGCGGAAAAGTGGTAAGGAAATTTCCACGAATAAAGGAACAAATGGAAAAGGGTTTTCAGAGGACGTCTTGGGGAAGCAAATCGTTCTAGGAGATGAGAATTTAGGCAAACTGTTTAGCTATATTTAAGCAAACGATCGTACTTTTCCTTACATGATTTCTTTTTCTTCTTATAATTTTATTAAGTATATTATTTCTTATATAATA